CGGGGAATCTTTAAAGTGGGGAACATTTAATAGCGTTATTCTTTACTGAAAAGTGAACGAGAATCTCTCAGTTTCCCACCGGAAGCTATTTATTCTGTGGCTATCTTTAAAACGAGGAACGCGGAATCGGAGAATCGGGGAATGGGAATGGGAATGGGAATGGGAATGGGAATGGGGAACGAGGAACGGTGAATCTTTAAAATGGGGAATCTTTAAAAGCGGGAATCTTTAAAACGGGGAATCTTTACCGCATTTTAAAGATTCCTCGCTTCCCCGCTTCCCCGCTTCCCCGCTTCCCCACTTCCCCGCTTCTTCGCTTCCCCGCTTCCCCGCTTCCCCGCTTCCCCGTTCCCCTTTCCCCGTTCCCCGTTCCCCGTTCCCCGTTCCCCGTTCCCCGTTCCTCTTTCCTCGTTCCTCGTTTTAAAGATAGCCCTAAAGCACCGATCTGCGATTATCATCAGTTTGCCGGTAAGTGAGAATCTTTTACTGTTTCTTTGATTGGACATCGGGAAAGGGGTTCCTTTTCGCGCACCGACTTTGATATCTATCACATCCGAATTCAGCTTATAGTTAATTAACTACGGACAAAATACTTCTACTACAATAAATCTAAAAATGGTTTTGACCTAGCATCACGCTTGTGGCCATTAGCTTAAGCTTATTTCTTGGTGAACGGAGAATCTGGTAGCGCTGAAATAGATCTCAAGGGGGTAGATAAAATTGGTGCAAACAGATGGTTTGTAATTGGTAAATAGCCCCAGAAAAATTTTCCTAGTAAAAAACGAGAAGGATCACGTTTGATATGTCTCTGTTACGATGTAAAACGAATTCGAATTCACGGACGCGCGCACGAGGAAAGCGCGGCAAATTATTTTCTCACGATACATTTAATATTACGTTTCTTTGTGAAATAAAGCCTACGTGTAGCCGTACCCACCCCCCCCGAGGGAAAACCTCCCTCCCGTTTTCCCTCGGGGGGTGGGTACGGCTACACGTAGGCTAAGAAATTGGCCCTATTCTTGGTTTTCACCAGTCATGTGATCAAAACTAAAAATCGTAACCATTCAATAAATAAATTCAAGA